CTTTTTTCTTTTTCAAGGTATTAAGCAAACAAACTAAGTGCAAAGTTATGATGAGCAAGGGTTCCTCTTTTAAAATTACACAATTCATGGCCCCTGGGCAGGGTTCTGGAGTTAGGACAGGGATCTATTGATTATATAATGAAAATGCATTATTTCTTTGAAAATCTTTTTCTCTGCTCCTGGGTTTTAAGCAAACAAACCAAGTGTATAGTTATGATCACATAGGTCAATAACGTACTTTGTTTGATTTTACTTGCTATATATACAAAAATTGTATATCTTGGGATTACATTAAATCAAACATAGTATGTTACCGGCCCCTGTGGTTATGATGAACAAGAGTGCTTCTTCCAAAATTGTGAAGTTCGTGGTCCTTTGGTCTGGGGTTAAGGTGGCACCCAAGCTCTATTGATTATATAGCTACAGGATCATTTAGAGGTAGAATTTATTTTTGTGTATAAAATAGGCTTATACAAGTGATTAATTAGGATTAACTTTGAATATTTTGTGAAAATTCATAAGAGAAGAATGTTTTCTAAATGAATCTTGTTTGTGTAAGTTATAATTTATGATCAAGAGTGGAAAATACCATCAAGTGTATGGGTAAGTTGAAATTCTCATGAAATATTTTGTACACTTATAATACTATGGCTCGTCCCAAGCACTTTTCAGGTACACTAGGATACAAGTTTACAACTTAAAAAATATAAACATCAGTCAGGTTATGTGATATCGCAATAAATGTGTCAATATATAGTTGAGACTTCCCTTTGTGCTAATTGTCTGTATTTATGTTCATAATAGCCTACATATAGACATCAAAACTGAGCTGGAAATGCAATGATATGTTTTGAATGCAATTTAATGCTTCAGGTAGTCTTAAAGGGTTTTCATCACGTCTCAACAGTTTTTGAGATGACAAAGTCTACGTGCTATTAAAATCATATATTTAAAAATCTTTGCTAGAAAATTAGATGTTACACGCCATTGCTCCGACGTCATAGGTGTCAATCCTGGTCAAGCGAAGTATTTATTGTGTATACAAAAGGGCTCATTTGTTGTGTCTATTAAACCTGTTAGAAAATAATTAAGAGATAATTGGATAATTGACAACTAATAAGGTATAATTTATGGCTTTAAGATGCACAAATGTGCACAAGAAAAGTTTTCGGAAGAAATTTTTTTTCCACATTTCCTGGACTTGGTCGAGAGATGTTCTGCAAATGCGATGGTGTGTATCTCCATTCAGAACAATTGTTTATGCCCGATCGATCACGATTTTTTTCCTGTCCTATCCTGTCCTATAAAATATTTTAAGGAAAGATACCTTTTAAAAGAATAATAAATGACAAACACGCATTTTTAAAAGTCGCACAGAATCTAGTAGGACTGTTTTGAACTTCGTAATGGTGTATGGCGCCATTGAAGAAGTGTAATTTCTAGTACATGATATTCACTGCTAGAACAGATAGAAGATATACAGGATTGATTTATATATAATTAATTAAAATAATAATGAAGGAGAATTTAAAATTCCCATATTTATAAATGTTTACGAAGTTAAACTTTAGTAATTTGTTCTATTTATTCGAAGTCCCAAGTTGTCAACGGCTTTGTTTTTGGTGACCTCTCCAATTGTCGGCATATTTTCTGATTATTTCTCTCAGCTAGACGTTCATACAAAAAAGATTGACCACCCACAACCAAAGAAATATAGTCGATGTCAAAATTTCAACCGTTCATATTGCGTATTCTATTTATTTAGCGTAAAAATCTATTCAATATATTTTTTCTTACGATAAGCTTTACGAGTTCTATTGACCATTGACACCTATGACGTTTCAGTACCACGTGACCCCTATCTAATTAGTGGAGATTTTTTACTTCGAGGACCCTATATTATGGGCGTTTTATTGTCTAATTACGGCCGTTTTCAACATTATTTCAGAATTAAATGATAGTTATATGTTTCAAGAATACAATAGCATTTCATTTTTAAGAAATTTAGATACGTGATAAAAACCCTTTAACATAACTGCGATGAGTTTACTAATGGAGCTCAAGCAATACTGATTTGTTTATAGTGCACAAGGTGATAGTGACAAATGGGGCAAGTAAATAGGTCTATACTTTTTGATTTGCTGCTGAGTACTAGACTATATATTACATATTTTGTTCATCCTTGATCATCCTATTTCTCTTGCTTTTGGGCAACATTACTAAGCTTCATCTATCACAGGGTTGTCCATAAGAATTAATTTAGAAGGGGGCATTATAGTAGAAGGGGATCTTGGGTTCCTCACTTAACATGGGGATGAGAGGGAATACCAGAGTAACCAAGGGATTATGTTATTATAGGAGGGACAACCCTGTATCAGTTTATTTGGTGTCATTTTATACTTCCATGGATCATTTACAGTGTTGAATTATACTCAGGTGACCGTTAAAGCCCTTAGGCCTTTTGTGTAAGATCATCCAGACGCTCGACTGTCTTCGTAAA